GGCACTCTGGAGGGGGATGTCGATCCCCACTATATCTGGTGCTGTTGGGCCGCAGGCAGAGCCGGATGGCTGTCAAGATTCATAACAGGGAGGAAGATGGTGGCGGACCGCGTCAGGGACACGTGGATAACGACTTAGGAGGGACTCTGATTCCGGGCGGCGGATGGAACAGAGGCAACGATGGCGTCTCACCTACGCACGGCAGGCGGGGCGCAGGCGAAGGATAATAAAGCGGCTACAGAAAGACCTTCGGGCATCAAGGGCAGTCGCCCACACAGACCGACAACGCACTCGATAAGACAGTGGCCTTTTAGGCCGTTGCAGCCCACTGTTACTGGTCGATCAAGCGTTTCAAGATGCAATGTCCGAAAAGCACAGCAATCACAGTCGCTCAGAGCACTACACAGTCGAAGCGCCAGCAAAGCGAAGACAAAGAAAACAAGAGTGGCTATGAGGTTTTTTCCCTTGAAAGGTTTCCTCATGTATATATCCTCAACGATTTAGTTGATAGTTTCCCGCATGGACCACCCTTAGGGTAGGACCGCATCGGAGTAAGAATCAAATAAATAAATAATAAGATAATTTAGAGGCAGTTCGTTAACAAATATAGTCTTAGAAAGGGTTTAGAGTGCTACCACAAGAATTAGTGGCAGAAGAAATCTATTAGCGCCTATACACTTAATAGAAGTTGTCACGTGTCACGTTGGAAGCAGGCGACGAGTGCGCGAGATCTTCAGCCCATGTTGAGTGCTATCCTAAGACTGCAGAGCCGACGAGGATGGCACTGGGGTCGCTCCTATATAGCGAGCATGCCCCTTACTAACGCGTAGTGCAAATCAATACCCGGCGGCCCTAGCGCTAGCGGCCGACAAGCATGGCAGCTGTGACAGAAGTAAGAGATTCGCGATTATCTGGATCATTAATAAAGGAGGGCAATTAAGTGTTTTTCTTTTGTACAATAACTTTGTACGCTTGACCAACGCCTATTCGAAAGCCTGTTTCATCCATATTATAGATATCCTCTTCAAGAATACTATATTTCGTCTTGGTCTCACGAAATCACTCAAAATACTCTTCAAGAATACCATATTTCGTCTTGGTCTCACGAAATCGCTCAAAATGAGCTTGTATCTCCTCTTGATTGTGTGTAAGCTTTCGTAGAATAAAGAGAGGCTTCCTCTTCTTTATAATATACTTCGGATGACGTTGTAGAAAGCGGAAGGACCAAATCTTGCTAACTATAGGAGGGGCAATAGTAGAATTGCTGTGAGCGCGTTCAAGGATCGAATTTGTAATGCTCTGTAGCATTTGAGGGCGTGCACTCACTCCTGATTCGTCTAATCGATCAAGATAGTGACAAAGAGCAAGCTCCTGGTCCTCACTAAGCTTTTTATTAGCCCCTCCATATTGTATCTTATTTTGAACACCCTTGTATCTTCTTCGGAGTCGTTGTTCAGGGACGTCGAATTGGCGTGCTGTTTGCGCGATATTAGGGAATTCGGCTTCGTTTAATGCGTAAATAGCATTATCGATTCTATCCTCAATTTCTTGATAGGATTCGGCCATTTTTCGTTGAATGGGAGCGCGTTTTGTGTGGGCGTACGAATAATTGAAAAATTCTATCGTTGCGCTGAAATCTATCGTTGCGGTGTGGTGCACTAAGCTGCAAAGCTTAGTGCAAAAAGTGCACGGTTAGTACTCGCTCAGTCCCGGGGCTCTTACCTTAGCCTTCCACTCTTCTCATTTTTCCGCTCTATCCCTTTCATCAACGGCTCCCCTTTCTGCCCTCGTAGCGAGACACAACTGCACAGCATGGGAGCTGTTCCCTTGCCCACAATGTCAATGACGATGAAAGGGTTCTCCTGGGGTCGGTGTGATTAATTCCTGACCGGTTGTTGCGTTGATGATGGACAGATCACCAGATCAAGCTTCAAGCAGGCAGTAGCATCGCATAGACAGAACTCTGGTAGGCATTATACAGGTCGCTGTGATGCCAACTCGACAAGCCCGTTCAGTGGATGCCGTTGACTGGTGCCCATGGCCTATGACACCTTCATACCTGGCATTCCGTATTAGCAGTACTCCCGTTTGCGCAAGCGTGGATCTTTCTGCCCACGTCTCCAGAATCTGGTCTCATTCGATGGCAGGAACTTGTGGCGCTGTCGGTTCTGCTTGAGACAGTTTCCTCCCAAATGGCGCGCCGCTTCAAGGGGTTATAACACCATATCGGAATATCGTCAATAGGTGCCTTCCTACCATGCAATGCATCAGTCTTCCATCAACGCCATTCCGCATCGATGGTGCCATCCAAATTCAAATTCGCTTCGCCCCACTCGAGCGTCAAATTCATACCGTCGACGAGGTGGTCAAGGTCAACAAGGGTCCAAGTGTCCAGCAGGCTTTGAGCAAAGATATCGAGCTTAGGGTAGGGTAGTCCAGTATGGCTGTACTCGATGTTCTCCGGCGTGCAAGGGAGATGCCGCCAGGCCTGCGACGTCATGAGAATGAAAAACAGCGCAAGACCAACGAATTTGAAACGAGGATATTGGTGTTCCATGCCTTCACACCCGTGAAAGCGCTGAGGGTCGAAATGCTTCAAACCCATCCTCTTCAGCACGGAACAGACTGGCAGCCTTTTCCAGCGAATCAATCGGCACAACCATGATCCATTCCCGAAAATAAGGACTTACAGCCTTGATAGGCCCAGTACCATAATAGATCAAGGCCGGCTCTGCAACCATACAGCAAGGGAATCCAGCATCTTCAAGCATCTTGTCGCCTTTAAGGATGTCCTTGACACCCCCTTGAAGCGGTTGCCAGTCAGTGGGATAGCCCTGCACAGACTCGTCACCAGAGGAGGGACATGGACGTTTGGACCTGCTGGCAGTGTGTCCATTTTGAATCAAATTGAGTCAAATAACGTCCTATACGGTTGCGTGCAACAT